GGGATGTCCTGGAACTTTTATGTGTGGCAGTGTAAGAGTATGTTTTGCTTTGGTTTTGGTTTTTTGGTTTTTTTTTGGTTTGGGGTTTTTTGGGGTATGTGGTTTTGGGGGTGTTTTTTGGGATAGCTGAAATGCTGCCCGGGAAAATAAATAATAATAGTGAAATGAAATGAAATTAAATTAAATTAAATTAAATAAAATAAAATAAAATAACCTCTTTGGAACCTCCTCTGGTACTTGTGATACAAAGAGAGAGAATGCCCCCAGCACTCAGTGTTGGGTTCTGCTCAATACTCAGTTGAATCTACTTTCAAACACCCTTCAAGATAACTAAAGGAAAAAAAATATATTTTTTTTCTCTTTATGCCTGGACATCTGGTACTGGTGCATTTGTGTTATATCCTACAATCACATTGCAAAAGAGACTTTTGAAGGAGCAGGAAACAATTTTGCAGTATGGTCTTTCCAGACACAAAACTGAAGAAAGAAGGAGATTGCTTGAAAGTGAAGCTGTTGAATGATGCGGCCTACCATGACATGAAGAGTGCAAAATGTGATGCTTTCTCATGTGAATCGTGACATTTTCTAGATGGTGTCATCCTTGATGAGGTGAATTCCACAGGTCCATCTTGCAACTTCATCGGTGATGATCCCATCTAGAAAATAGGCACATAGAAAGCATGTGTTATCTTTCTTAGGGATGCAGGTGGAGGAAAGGTGTTTCGGATCACCCCAGCATCTCACAGAATCACCATGGTTGGAAGGGACCTCTGAGATCTTTGAGTCCAAACTTAAAAAAAAACAAATCAAAAAAAAAGAAAACCAAAAACAAAACAAAAAAAAACACAAAACACAACAACCCACCACATCACACTGACCCACAAACCAATAATCTCGGGCACTAGACCATGCCCTGAAGTGCCACATCTACACGTTTCTTAAAAAACCTCCAGGGATGGTGACTCCACCACCTCCCTGGGCAGGCTGTTCCAGTGACTGACCACCCTCTCAGGAAAGTCATTCTTCCCAGTATCTAATCTAAACCTCCCCTGCCCCAACTTCAGACCATTTCCTCTGCTCCTGTCGTTATTCCCTTGGATGAAGAGGCCAACCCCCACCTCTCGACAACCTCCTTTCAGGGAGTTGTAGAGGGCAATGAGGTCTCCCCTCAGCCTCCTCTTCTCCAAACTAATCATGCCCAGTTCCCTCAGCCCTTCCTCGTAGGACTTTGATAAGGTCTCCCCTCAGCCTTCTCTTCTCCAGTCTAAAGAGTACCAGCTCTCTCAGCCTTTCCTCATAAGGGAGATGCTCCAATCCTTGAATCATCTTCGTTTTCCTTCGCTGGACTTGTTTTGGCCCTTCTTGTAGATGGGCATCACACTGGCCACCCTCCAGTCATCCGGAACCTCTCCTGTTGACCAGGATTGTTGATAGATGATGCAGAGAGGCTTGGTGAGCTCTCCCACCAGCTCCCTGAGTACCCTTGGGTGAATCCCATCTGGCCCCATAGACTTATGCGTGTCCAGGGAAACGGAAGAAAAAAGGGGTGGGAAAGCACAAAAGTACAGGGTCAGAACAAGCAGGAACACAAATTGCACATCAGACGGCTTTAGGTCTGACGAGAGGAGCTCTGTGAGCTAAAGTGTGTGTGCAGTGTCCTATCTACAACCACTGGGGAGACAACTCCAGAGTGCTGGCAATGACACCAGAGCCTAAATGAAAAATCAGAGCACTGATTTTTGCCAGCATTACTCCATAAAAACATGCAACAAAGGAATTTTAGCTCATTTAAACCAGGTAGGCACAAGAAAACAGCAGCCGTGGGTAAGTAATGAGGAAGATGAATGTAAAGATTATGAAAATTTGTAAGTTGGAAAGATTTTTTATATTAAATTACAGACCTAATTAGCAGTTGCATTTCGATCCAAATGTTTAGTAGCTTTTAATTTAATTTTTGCACTGCACAGAATCACAGAATGATACGGGATTGATGGGGACATATGGAGATCATCTAATCCAACCCCGTGCCAGAGCAAAGATTCTGTTATTACTAGTACAGTTAAAAAGGAGTTATGGCTCCCCCCTCTGAGCTGCTAGATTTCTGTGTTTCTTTTTACATTTAAACACTGATTCAAAAGTGTGTTCTCTTCTCCAAGCACCTAATGTGTGATATAACTTTCCAAATGGAGCGTAAGTGAAGGGGTTTTTGGATTTCTACCCACCTTGAATTTGAGATTGAGCCCTTTTTGCTGCCAGTAAGTCTTGGCAGAAGTAACACTCAAAGCTGGTTCTAAACAAAACCTCCAGTGCTTTAGTTTGAGTTTTCAGCTACTTTCAAGACGTGATGAATTGAAAAGAGGAAAGCTAAGGGTCTGTGGAAAAAATCTGCCAGGGACAATGGAGAAAAAGCGTGTGACTAAATGCCTGAAGGTCTCATCAAACATGAAAACATTACACAAAACCTTTACAATAAATTGTATGTAAACTGATCTTCAAACCATCTGCATTGTTTCTTCATTTTTTAATTGTTTTCACTCTATTCATGTTTTCACACTTGCCGGTTCAACTTTGACAGGCTGAGGGGAGAGTAAAACTTTTTTTCAGTCTCTGAACTACTTGTTCTGAAAAGCATGTTACGTCAAAATGGTCAAATCCCAGTTAGAAATGGTACTGGGTTTACACGGCAAAGTTTTGGTAGCTGGAGATGGGGAGGCTGCAAGGGTGGCCTCTGTGAGAAGAGGGTTGTGGGCTCCAGAGCAGAGACTCCTCTGCATCCCATGGAAAGTTTGGAAGAATCCGTGATGGAGCAGGTATTTCCCTGTAGTCCCTGGAGACATGACACCATGTCCCATGGAAAACCCAACCCTGGAACAGGTGGATATTCCCTGAAGGAGCTGAGGTCCATGGAGAGCCCATGGTGGAGCAGGGTTATCCTGAACTACCACAGCCTGTGGAGAACCAGCCCAGGAACAGGTTGACCCTGAAGCACTGCAGCTTGTGGAGAGCCCACTCTGGAGTAACTTACCCGGAAAGGAGCTGCAGCCCGTGGAGAACCCATGCTAGAGAAGATTGATCCTGAAAGATTATAGCCATGGAGAGGTCCCATGCTGGAACAGGAGGGTTCATGTGAGTTGGAAGAAGTGACAGAGCAGAACAATTACGAATTCTTCAGAAGACCAAAAGGGGTTGTTATATACATGAAGGGGAACTGTTCAGAATGTAGGGTTCGAGACAGAGTTGCTTCGAGACATTGGGGGGTCATGGTCAGTCGGTAACAGTTCCTCTCTGTCAGACCTTCCTCCTCACACACTTCCCCTGCTCCGGTATGGGCTCTCTGTGAGCTGCTGGTCCTTCAGGACAAACCTTTTCCCACATGGGCTCCCCATGGGCACCGCATTCCTTCAGGGAACCTGCTGCAGTAGAAGGACCTCCAGTTGCTGCACTGTGGGTACCTGCTCCGTGGTGGTCCTCTCCACCAGCTGCAGGTGAATTTCTGCTGTTGCAGCTGGAATGCCTCTTCCTCCTTTTCTGACCTTGGAATCAGCAGGGTTGTTTCTCTCACTTTTTTCCTTGCCATTGTTCTGCGTTTTCCGCCATTATAAATGTGTCTTCCTCAGAAGTGCCACCAGCTTCACGGATTGACTCAGCTTCTTCCTGGGGGAGGTCCATGTTGCAGCCGGCACCAATCAACTGTGTCCAACATAGGAGCAATCCCTCCCTTTTTACTACAGGGGTCACATTTGCAGCCTCCCTGCTCCCAAAAGTTGGCCACAGATACCAAATACACTCAGGAAAGAAGTTTCTTATTCCAGATTCCTTGATCTTTCTTTTCACTAAGAGGTGAAAGGCATTTCTTATCATTTTCCAAGTAGTGCAGAAGTGCTCCTCCTACCTCAGCAGTAACTTTGTTCCTTCCTGTTTTCTTTAAAATCTCCAGCCAAGACACTCCTTCCAGCAGGTAAGAGCACGAGGCTTTTTTTACGGGTAGAAAGTTCACACAATGAAAATAGCAAAAGAATATATTCTATATGTCGTTTGGGGCAGGTGTATTCGAGGATTAACGAATGAGAAGGAATAAAGTGAAGGATATCTCAGTGCAGGTAAGAAAGCTTTATTCAAATAACAAACCCTATGAGTATTTATGTTAGTTACTCTGTTCCGTACTGTAGTTTTAGTTACTTTATCTCATTGGGCTGCTACTTTGTTGATTTTGTTTTTCCAATGTGGTTGATTGAACATGTAACATCCTCTGTTTTAGGGTGATAAACATCTGTTGAAATGATCTTTAATATAGGTATAAATATTTAGCATATTTAACATAGAGGGAGTTGAAGATTGTAGCAAAGCAAAGGGAAGGGCTTCCCTGGGGATGCTTTATGGTCCTCTGACCTGCCTTTCAGGTGCTCGGTGTGATGTCTTCTGTTTTCCTGTGCTGTGCTTGCATTGCCTCCCTCTTGTACTCCGTGCCTTTAGGGTAAATGCTAGACCCTTGCAAGCCACGCTGTACTCCCCAGCTGCTTCCTTACAGCACTTACCAGTTCCGCCAGTTTTATTGCCCTACCAAACAACTCTTTTCCTGCCCTTCAGCAGTTCACCAACGTTTTCTGCTAAGAGAGGGCAGAGTACAGGTTTGTTGGGAGTGCCACACTGCTGCAGAATCAAAGTAGGGTGGGAACTATGAAGCACAGCCCAGATTCCCATAGAAATCCAACAAGAGATTCATTGCATGAGAGTCTAGTAATGTGCGTACGGGGTTGGCAGTGAGCATCCTGGCCTGCTGGCCTGCCATCCCAATCAGTTTGAAGTCAGATGTTCCTGTGCCCAAGAACAGGGACTGGCAGGGAATGGGAATGGGCAGCTTTTCCTTCAGAGAAAGGAGCCATGAGCTGCTGGTGACCCCAGCAACATGACACAGCCCCACAAGACGTGAACACAGAGGGCAGAGCCAGGTGCTGCCTTTGTGTTTCTGTCCTTTGTAAGATTCACTACTCTCTCTTTCATTGCTCCTGGGAATTTTTTCTTGTTTTCACAGTGCATCATCCATTTCCAGGGGGAACAGAAGCCATCTGACTTGACCCCATGGAGTACTTGCCAAGGAAGCTTGTATTAGTTCTATTATTGACTCTTCCAACATATTTTTTAATTGGAAAGTGGCCTAGAGGTAAGAAACTCTATACTGTACCCACCCAGCCAGTTTTCCTAAAACACCACACCTGCATTTCAGTTCACAGTCCCTAAAGGAACAAAGGCACTGCAGATCGTATGTGGTGTCTGACACCTCCAAGCACAGGCTTGGGATGACATCACCCATCTTGGTGATGTGAAAAACCCCAGTCCTGCTCGGGGGTGTCTGCAATGTCAGGGAAGTGGCATAGGTGTATTATCTTACTAGACAGGTGAGAGAGGCATGTTCAGCTTCTCCTGGGTCACAGAGCCAGGTCCTGTGGTCCACGAGCCTGTGCAGATTGCTTTGCAGGTTGTAAACTTGCAGAGACCGTAGACCATTGCACAGGTCTTTGCACTTTACGTGTGATTACTCTCTCCCAGCTCAGTGAGTTGGCTTTGTGGTCCTCACACCAGTGTACCTGTTATCTTCCTGAATGAATGCCTGCAATACCCATGAATATGTAACACAGCTGCTGTGTATAAAGTGAGGAAATTTGGTAACTCTAAAGCATGTCTTTGCCTGGAGGAGGGCAGACTGTAAATATAGTAGTCCCTCACTACTGTAAGGGACGGTGAGACTCTAACCTGGAGCTGAGCTTTCTGTTTTGGATTCAGCTAACACGTGTGGCTTTCTTCCCTCTATGGAAAGATTACACTCACAGAGAAAAGCAAAGCTTTTGCTCCCACCTCTTCCTTGCAGGTGAAGATCCTGTTGCCATCAGCATCGAACCGTCGGTTGTCCTTGTTGGAGATCAAGTGACTCTGTCCTGCCAGGTGGCAGACAGTGTCCCCTATAACACGAGTGTGCTCTGGTACAAAATGGAAAAGGGGAGGGGTGCTCCACTGTGCTCTTCCTCCAGCCTGGGTGGGGTGGTGGAGCAGTGCCAGGATGAAGAAGAGCAGAGGATGACGGGACACTGGCAGGGAAGAGCACTTCTTCTGGTTATCCGGCAAGTGCGAATCGCCGACGAGGGGACGTACGTTTGTGCACTGAACGGCAGTGTTGTCACACACGAGGCTACTACTCACCTTGATGTTACAGGTAAGCAGGGAGATTTCCACAGTGAAATGCGACCTGCTATGACCACGTTGAGTTCATTCCCATCATGATTCTGTGGCTCTGCCTATTTCTTGCCAGACAGCTGAGACCTTGTCCTGGTTGAACCCCAGTAGGCAGCTAAGCATCACACGCTTGTTCATTCCCTGCCTTGGTGGGGTGAAGGAAATAGTCAGAAGGCTCAAAGTATGAAAACTCATGGGTTGAGATAAAGACAGTTGAATAGGGAAAGCAAAAGCTGCACACACCATCAAAACAAAATGAGGAATTCATCCACTGCTGCCCATAGGCAGGCGGAGATGGCAGGGTTTAGTCATCTCCAGGAAAGCAGAGCTCCATCGAACATCATGGTTACTTGGAGAAATGGGGAAATAAGTAAAGGCACAGGAAGTAGCTGGAAAGACTTGCTTCAATTCTAAATATCTAAAGCTGTGCTCTGAGGGGGACAAGGCAGATGGCTTGTCATGTGGGAAAACACATTGAGGTGCTGAGCCACCTATAGTTGTTTTCTCTTCTGGCGTTATGAATGTTCAGGTTCTCCAGTTAGGGCTGTTTTGCTTTCTGAAATGAAGAAAACCCAAATACTCAGAGCTATTAGGGAGGGTATTCACCGATGTGCAGCGCACATGATATGGTAGGGGCCCTTTTTCTCTCCTCATTAGAAATCCTGTTGGACAAGATAGGGAACAATTCCTTGCTCTTCTTCCTCTCCACGCCATTCCTTTTTTTTGGACCTGTATTTTATTCCCCTCGGTTAAGTGGAGCATGCTCCTCTATTTGGCAAACCCCCAGATGCTCTTCCTACTAGGTCATCCAGGCCTACTGGGGTTCGCTATTTGTCTGTGGTACTATGTCCCAGTGTTCACCATGGGTGGAGTCCAGGTCAGAACCTTTTGTTCTGACCAGGTATGATTGTTTTTACAAACTATGAACATTTGGAGCAACATACTGAGGCTTTCTGAGTTTTGTAGGTTTGTTTTGTTGTTGTAGTAATTTTGCAGCAACCCTAACTCTGTCCCATACTCCTTGACTCTTACAGCAATTGGGTATAAGCCAACATTGGACAGGGATCTGCAAGAGGAGAGAATGTGTCGCTACACGTGTAAGTCAAAGAAATGGTACCCAAAGCCTGAAGTCTTTTGGATGAGCTATGGAGGAGACACAGTAAATGTGGAGGCTGAGACCCATGTAACCTGGAGTGAGAGAGACCATTTCACAGTGCAGAGCAGCATCACAGTGCCTTGTGATAACGTAGATGTGGTGTGTGTAGTCAAACTCCTCAAATCCAAGATAAGCCGATCAGGTAAGTCACACTTTCACACCAACGTCTGCTTTGTTGAGTGAACAAGCCCCTTCCATTATTGCTAGAAGAGCTGAAATTGGACAGTTCTTGGCACCTTCCCTGAAGCATCCTGCAGAATCTCACTCTTCAGGAGAAATCTTTGCTGTTGGGTGATGGAGGTTTGGGTTGGCCTTGTGGCATCTTCAGGGGAACACCATGAATCGATCCCATGGGAAAGTGCTGAGAGTGATCTTCTCATTGCTCTGCCTCTTTGGACTGAGTTCAGCCATGGCTTCAGGAGCTCGTAGCTTTGCCTGATTTAACACTCAGAACCCGAGTATTGCTATCTCTTTAACTTCACTTCTGGTTTGAACCTTCTCACCTGGAGCAACAGGCTGCATCAGTTATGGTTTGGGAAGAGCCCCTTGTACACAGTCCTGTCGGTTTTCATTTATGTCAGCAGTCTTACACTTCCACAAAGCCAGCTCATTTGACTCTTTCAAGTGTGGAATTACTAAAAATGAAATGCTCAAAAACCAGGTGCTTTTGATTACCGATGAAATGACAACAAAAGTGCACGTGTTCTGTGAGATCTCTTTCAATGCGGCTTTGGTGTTTCTGTGTTGTGCCAGATGCAGTGATGGTAAATTGCTTCTGTTACAGGTGCCATGAATGAAATTATTGTGCCACAGCCAACCACTTGTACGTACAAGGGCAGAATAAGTGGTTCCTCTGTAAAGCCCAAAGTGATGTGGGTTAATCCCCAAGGAGAAGATCTATCTTCACTGGCCCACACAAGCATTCTGCAGGAGACGGATGGTATTTTTACAATAGAAAGCTCCATTGAGATACCCTGTGGACAACCGCCACCTTCTTTTGTGCCCACTGAGAGGGAACAGGGTCCATGGATAGCTCAACAGCCAGGTATGCCTCAATTGAGACGATTTCATGTGCTTTGGCATTCTCCAAGCAAGCAAAGCCACCCCCATTTTGCTTGGTTACCTCATCATCCTCCACCAGTGAGAAGGATGGGCCTAGTGCTGTGAACTATTTCACTCTGTTTCCCACAACATTCATAGTTGAATCCGTTTGGGAGTGTCACCAAAATTTTTAACTGGCCAGTGTTGAGCGAGGGGAGAGGCTCGTATGCCAAGTATACAATTGCAAGAGTAGTTCTTCTTTCATGTGCATGAGGTGTCCCAGCCAAACTGGGAAACCCCAATGTGCTTTTATTCATGGTTCTTTTACATTTGAAGTGTTGAGGTACAACATGATTTGACTAATTGCTCCTTAACTCACATATGCTACTGTTTGCAAAGCAGTGATAATTCCATGGTGCCATCATCCGCCTGCTTCTTTCTTGATCTAGATGTCCCTGGAGTTGATCCTGCTCTAGTTGCTTATCTATGACACCAGACATTGGGAGGGCTTCAGGGAGGTGTTAGAGGCACTAGGATGCTGGCATTATCTTGGTAGTCCAGGGATATCCTTTATCCTTCATGGACAGCTTTAAGATTCTGGGAAACAAAGGTCCTTATGTGCAGGTGGGGCTGTCCTCCTCCTTGCAAGGACCCGGGCTCCTTTCCTCGTGCTGACTTATGCATGACTACTCAGTATGCACTGTAAACACCTAAAGAAACGATACAACTTCATACTTTGAAGACTAAAAGGTAGAATAGTGAGGGGACGAGGTTTTGCACCAGAGGAGTCTGTTGCTCAATACTTTTGGGAAGTCAAGGAATCCACAGTGACAGCACCTCACTGTGAGGACTGTGGATGAAATGGGAAGAGCTTCTGTTGCCCCCAGGACAGGCAGGAAGACAGTGGGCTCCTGAGCTAAGCGTACACTAGTCTGCCTCCCAGCAGGAACCTCCATCTTTCGATGCTGTCAGAGAAGTTTTTCTGGCAGATCTTCAGATTGTCAGCTGTTGGGATTTGCACCAGTGAGGAGAACCTGTGCCGTTAGACTATTAGAAGTTATTCTGCCTGAAAGGTGGTGTTGAGCAGCAAGGCAAATGCTGAGCTTTCCTCGGAAATTTCTTCTCAGTGAAAGCTTTGAAGGTCAGCTTGTCTTAAGTGAAAGTGTTTTCATGGTATCAATTAGAACATCAGTATTTTCTAAAGAGAAAGTGACCTCTTGAATAAAAATAGAGACCAATTGCAAAGACTAAAATTAATAAAAAACCTCGCAAAGAAGAAAAAAACTAATGCCTCCAAGTTTATGTCAAATCTGATTTTAGTGTGTGTATATGGAAAAGTCTTGGACACACAGCAGAGAATTTAAAATGCAACAATCAGTGTCTCCTTTCAGCTTTCTTTAAGACTGTTTTTGTTCCTCGTAATATTTTCCAGTGAATGATCTTGCTGAAAGTTCTTCTGCCAACTATGTACAAATAGGGCAGATTATACGATGCCATGGCCACTCTCTATATGTGTGTGCTATACTGTGACAAAACTGTTACATTTTTTTAATACATTTTCCCCATTTTTTAGAAAACGGAAACATGATTTGGATTATCAGCTCCTTTGTTTCCATTATTTTACTAGGTAAGATATTTCCCTATTCTAGAAATCCCATTGCCCACTTGTAGATGGAAGCAAAGAATCAACCCCACAGCCAGTTGTGGGCTGGCTTTGACTCTTCCTTTTTGGAGGCAGTCTCCCAGTAGCTGCTGTGGGGGTACAATTTATGGTATCTTTGTCTTTCAGCACGTATTTTCTAAAGAGAAAGTGACCTCTTGAATAAAAATAGAGACCAATTGCAAAGACTAAAATTAATAAAAAACCTCGCAAAGAAGAAAAAAACTAATGCCTCCAAGTTTATGTCAAATCTGATTTTAGTGTGTGTATATGGAAAAGTCTTGGACACACAGCAGAGAATTTAAAATGCAACAATCAGTGTCTCCTTTCAGCTTTCTTTAAGACTGTTTTTGTTCCTCGTAATATTTTCCAGTGAATGATCTTGCTGAAAGTTCTTCTGCCAACTATGTACAAATAGGGCAGATTATACGATGCCATGGCCACTCTCTATATGTGTGTGCTATACTGTGACAAAACTGTTACATTTTTTTAATACATTTTCCCCATTTTTTAGAAAACGGAAACATGATTTGGATTATCAGCTCCTTTGTTTCCATTATTTTACTAGGTAAGATATTTCCCTATTCTAGAAATCCCATTGCCCACTTGTAGATGGAAGCAAAGAATCAACCCCACAGCCAGTTGTGGGCTGGCTTTGACTCTTCCTTTTTGGAGGCAGTCTCCCAGTAGCTGCTGTGGGGGTACAATTTATGGTATCTTTGTCTTTCAGCACTCTTTTCAGCACTCCTTCTGAGGCAGATTGGTAAGTGTGGGTGTTTGGAGCTTGGTGTCCTTCCCTTCCAAAGTTCTAAGGTCAGTAGTGAAGACCTGACATTTCCAGTGTGATCTGATTCCTTGGTGCTTGGCTGTTCTCCTGGCCAGGAAGCATTTGGCAGGGCTGATGGGACATTCTTCTTACTGGGGAGGGCAGGGGAATTGTTGCTTACTGGGCTCCATTGAGAAGGTTCTGTGTCCTGGCTGATGAGTCAAGGGGAGAAGTGGTGGCCCGAGGGAGGATCCAAACCCAGGACAAGGGGAACACCGTCCCCCTGGGAAGAAGGAAACTGCCAGATTGAATTCTCTGTGGTGTTTGGAGTTCTGGTGCTAAGCAAGGTGTTCATTCTGCCCCCTCTTTTCTTACAGGAAAGCAGAAGGAGATTGGTGAGTGTCACTGACACCCTGGGGGCTGTTTCTGTAAGCAGATCGCAATATGGGGTGCCAGGGTGGGCCAGTAGAGGGCAAGTCACCCTGAACCCCACCAGATATAGCCAGGGGAGCTGCCAGTGTGAGTGGGCCTGGTGTCAGGAAGGATGAGAGAGAGCTGGGTTGGAGGCACTCTCTGCCTGCTTTCCCTCAGCTTTCTTCAACCAAATGTCCCCGGGGAAAGCACCTCTGGTGGCAGCCATGGTCCTTGCAACAAGTGAGATTTGGGGTTGCGGTGGGAGTGGCTGCTGGTGTCCAAGCTGGGGGAGACTTGGTGCAAGCAGGAGCATGGGAGAAAGAGGTGTTGAGGGAAGGCCAAAGAGATGTGAAAGCCTAGGGCCTTGGCCAGCCCTGGGTCCTGGTAGGGACGTGTGTGCTTGTGGATGAGGGTGACTATCCCAGTGAGAGTCCCACGATGAGTAGTTCCAAGGAGGGGGAGCCACCCACCAAGCCAGACAAGTTTTTCATCCCTCCCTGGGGGACAGTCCCAGAGTGGACTGGCTTGCAAGGACCTTGTGGATCTTGCCCTGACATTGTGTCTTCCTCTCCTGTGACCACGGTGACTCGGCAGAGGAACTGCGCGCAACGAACGGTGAGTCTTTCTGTTTGCCCACCTGCCTTCCCCGCTGGGATAGAGACCTTGGGCTGGGAGAGGAGGGATGCTCCAGCAAGGCCAACTGCTCCACAAGTGCCACGTTGAGAGACCCTACCAGGGCCCAAGGTTCAACATGGCAGCTGGTGCTCCCTGCTTTGAGCTTTGCCCAGGCAGTGCCCCATGGTCAGTTGTGGGCTGGCTTCTGACTCTTCCTTTTTTGGGGCAATCTTCCAGTAGCTGCTGTGTGGGTACAATTTATGGTGTCTTTGTCTTTCAGCACAGCTCCAGAGGCAGATTGGTAAGTGTGGGTGTTTGGGGCTTGGTGTCCCTGCCTGCCCATGCTGTAAGGTCACTAGTGGAGACCTGACAGCGCCAGTGTTGTCTTATTCCTTGGTGCTTGGCTGTTCTCCTGGCCAGGCGAGCATTTGGCAGGGCTGATGGGACGTTCTCCTTACTGGGGAGGGCAGGGGAATTGTTGCTTACTGGGCTATGTTGAGAAGGCTCTGTGTCCTGGCTGCTGAGTCAAGGGGAGAAGTGGTGGTCCAAGAGAGAGAATCCATCCCCAGGACAAGGGGAACACCGTCCCTTGGGAAGAAGGAATCTGCTAGGCTGAATTCCCACTGTGAGCCACAAAGGAGGGGCAGGGAGATGATGTTGGTGGTACTCTGGCTTCTGCCTTGCCAGGTACTGGCAAACAGGAGGTACTGTGTCTCTCAACACCTGACATTTCAAGTAGAACGTTTGGCTGTCATGCCAGTAGAGGTGGCAGCAGCGCAAGGGTGTCTGTGCCAGCAAGGTGAATTACCATGAGGCAAAGGGAGTGGGTTGGAGAGACAGTGCATCTCAAGGATGGCAGGTGATGGATGCTGCTGTGCCAGAGTCAAGTGTGCCCGTCTCTGCTGCCGGCAGCATCTCCTACATGGACAGCCCTCATTCTCCCCCTACCTCTTCTTTGCAGACGAGCTCCAGTCGCAACACAGGGCAGAAGGTGATGCAGAGAAGGGTGAGTGCAAGCAGCACACTGCTGCCACGGCTCAGTGCCCAGGAAAATCTTGGCTAAGGGCAGGTCTTCAAGGAGGCCAAGTCTGCCTAGCCGAACACTTTCTATGCTGTGCCAAGAAGGGACACAGTGGGAGCGGTTCAGCACGGCCGGCCGGGCAGGGAGGGTGGGCTGGGTCTGGCTCCAGAGTGTGCCAAGAGGCCAGTGCACATGCTCTCTGAAAGAGGGAGGTGCTGTGCCCCTGTCCTCCCTTCTTCCTGGTTGAGGACTCATGGGGCAAGACTTCCTTGCAGATGGCAATGGTGCTACGAGACACGAGGGTTATATTCTCCTGCCTCTCACGTGGTCCTCTGTGGATGGTTTTGCCTCCTGTCTTGCTTGGAGTTCTGGTGTTAAGCAAGGTGTTCATTCTGCCCCCTCTTTTCTTACAGGAAAGCAGAAGGAGATTGGTGAGTGTCACTGACACCCTGGGGGCTGTTTCTGTAAGCAGATCGCAATATGGGGTGCCAGGGTGGGCCAGTAGAGGGCAAGTCACCCTGAACCCCACCAGATATAGCCAGGGGAGCCGCCAGTGTGAGTGGGCCTGGTGTCAGGAAGGATGAGAGAGAGCTGGGTTGGAGGCAATCTCTGCCTGCTTTCCCTCAGCTTTCTTCAACCAAATGTCCCCGGGGAAAGCACCTCTGGTGGCAGCCATGGTCCTTGCAACCAGTGAGATTTGGGGTTGCGTTGGGGGGTGGCTGCTGGTGTCCAAGCTGGGGGAGACTTGGTGCAAGCAGGAGCATGGGAGAAAGAGGTGTTGAGGGAAGGCCAAAGAGATGTGAAAGCCTAGGGCCTTGGCCAGCCCTGGGTCCTGGTAGGGACGTGTGTGCTGGTGGATGGTGGCAACAATCCCAGTGAGAGCCCCGTGATGAGTAGTTCCAAGGATGGGGAGCCACCCACCAGGCCAGACGAGTTTTTCATCATTCCCTGGGGGACAGTCCCAGAGTGGACTGGCTTGCAAGGACCTTGTGGATCTTGCCCTGACATTGTGTCTTCCTCTCCTGCGACCACGATGACTCGGCAGAGGAACTGCTCGCAACGAACGGTGAGTCTTTCTGTTTGCCCACCTGCCTTCCCCACTGGGATAGAGACCTTGGGTTGGGGGAGGAGGGATGCTTCAGCAAGGCCAACTGCTCCACAAGTGCCACGTTGAGAGACCCTACCAGCGCCCAAGGCTCAACATGGAGAAAATTAGGAGAGCCAAAGTACAGCTAGAGCTCAACACAGCTACAGCTGTTAAGGATAATAAAAAATGTTTCTATGAATTCATTATCAACAAAAGGAGGACTAGGGAAAATCTCCCTTATTTATCAGGGAGAGGGAAGCATAGTCACCAAGGATGAGGAAAAGGCCGAGGTGCTCAATTCCTCTTTGCCTCAGTCTTTAGCAGTGGAACTAGGTTGTTCCCTGGACACCCAGCCTCATGAGCTAGAAGACAGGGAAGGGAAGCAGAATGAGGGCATCACAATTAAAGAGGAAGAGGTCAGTGACCTGCTACACTTGTATGGATGCACACAAGTCTATGGGACGGGATGGGCTACACTCCAGAGTGCTGAAAGGGTTGGCAGATGTGCTGGCCAAACCACTTTCCATCATTTACATGAAGTCCTGGCTAACTGGGGAGGTCCCAATGGGCTGGAGGGTGGCAAAAAAAAGCCTGGGTCCCTGGCCAGCCCTGGGTCCTGGTAGGGAGGTGTGTGCTGGTGGATGGGGGTAACAATCCCAGTGAGAGCCCCGTGATGAGTAGTTCCAAGGAGGGGGAGCCACCCACCAGGCCAGACGAGTTTTTCATCCCTCCCTGGGGGACAGTCCCAGAGTGGACTGGCTTGCAAGGACCTTGTGGATCTTGCCCTCACATTGTGTCTTCCTCTCCTGTGACCACGGTGACTCGGCAGAGGAACTGCTCGCAACGAACGGTGAGTCTTTCTGTTTGCCTACCTGCCTTCTCCGCTGGGATAGAGACCTTGGGCTGGGGGTTGCATGCTGCTGTTCCTAGAGCTGAGTATTCTCCTGTCCCCACTGCTGGCAGCAGCTCCTACCTGGACAGCCCTCATGGCTCCCCCTTCTTTCTGCCTGCCTCTTATTTGCAGAGGAGCTCCCGTCACAAGACAGGAGTGGTGCAGAGAAGGGTGGCTACTAGCAGCTCATTGCTGCACAGCCCACGGAAGCCCTGGCTGGGGTTTCTTGTGGAGGCTGAGTCTTCCTCAATAAGACCCAGGATTTTCCCCTGGTCTTCTTTGGACTCAAGATGGGGTTTTAAGCAAGTTGTCATCCCTTCCTCCCCTCTTCTTGCAGAGAACCTGAAGAAGGAGATAAGTGAGTGTCGCTTTTCCCCTGGAGGTCGTGTGAGCCAGCTAATTGTGAGGTTTGGGGGTCTTCATAGTGTGTTGCTTGTGGGTTCTGCCTTCTTGAGGTTTTGGTGCCAGCAGGAATGTGAGGGAAAGGTATGTAGAGGTAAGGCTGAGATGGGGCTGAAGGGGCTGCAGAACCTCAGCTATCAACCAGCCCAGGGACATTGTGGGAAAATGGGTGATGACGGGGTATTGAAGAGATCCCTGCCAGAGTCAGAAGCTTGTGAGATGCAGCTCCAAGGAGCGTTAGTCGGCCACCAGGCCAGATTTTTTGTGGCTTCCTTGGGTAGAATGTCCCCTAGTGGACTGCTTTGTATGTTATGGTTCTTGCCCTGACTTGGCTTTCTTGCCCTTTTTCTCTTGCTGCCCACGGGGACTTGGCAGAAAAACTGCGTGAAAAGGAAGGTGAGTCCCTCTGGTTGCCTGTGTGCTTTCATGTTTATTGTTGTTGAAAGTTGTCTATACTTTTGCCTCCACGTTCCTTGGAAATATGTCACCTCAATTCTTCAGGAAGCTGTTTCCATTAGGAAGCCAAACCCAATCCATGGGAATAACTCACAGTAGCTCAAATGATCCTCTTTTACATGCTGTGTTCTTTCCATGTCCTTTGATACATCCAGCTTTATTGACCTGCCCATACTTTTCTGCCTGCTGCCCTCTGCTGTTCAAAAGATTACCTCTTATCACTTGTGACTCCGGCTTTCTAGTTGGAAAAGTTCTTCCTTGTATGCAGGGGAAGAACAAGAGCCCATTTAGAAATGACAGTCAATGTCTCGTAGATCTCACTGCATGGAAACCTGTGGTGATTTCAGAAACAGCAGGCAAAAAGATGGCATTTCAGGAGATGGCTGATCCAGAACCATCCTCTAGTGCTACCAAGTACTGATGTCTAATCCACAGTAACCTTTTCTTTCTGTGTGTTTCTCTTGTTTGCAGTGGATCAGATGGAAGAAATTGGTAAGTCGTTATTGCTTAGTGAAGGGGGAAGACTGAAGAGAGGAAGAGGGTTCTTGTTTTAAAGGGCAATTAATTTAGAGCTTGTAAACTCCTGGGGATTTGAAACGTTCCCTTTATGCAGTTCCAAGTGCATATCTCACACCTGTATGTTCACGGGCTCAGCTATTTGTCCAAAACTCAATGTTTTTCACATACAGATGCCTGCCTTTGAGCTAATCCCTTAAATTCACATCTCAGAACTGCACAATCCTACTGGGACCCCTGCTGAGTTGTCTTTTCATGTTTCACACGTAAAAACACAAGTTCACCTGATTCTGCCCTGGAAAACAGTTAATATTTACTTGTCTGTTTTGACTTCTCAGCAGCTTAGTTTGGATAGTGGACTCTCCACCTGCCACACCTTCTCCACTATCCTTCGCTGCCCAGCCGCTACTGCTCAAAGCTGTCATGGTTGCACATACCCACAAACTCACTGGGAAGTGCACTCCCTCCTCCCTTCAGACCATTAGGGAAGATTTACCCAACTTGTTTCTTTGTATGCACCCCCACATGCAAATGCACGTAAAAACACAAGTTCACCTGATTCTGCCCTGGAAAACAGTTAATATTTACTTGTCTGTTTTGACTTCTCAGCAGCTTAGTTTGGATAGTGGACTCCCCACCTGCCACACCTTCTCCACTATCCTTCGCTGCCCAGCCGCTACTGCTCAAAGCTGTCATGCTTGCACATACCCAGAAACTCACTGGGAAGTGCACTCCCTCCTCCCTTCAGACCATTAGGGAAGATTCACCCAACTTGTTTCTTTGTATGCACCCCCGCACGACAAATGCACTAAATGTGGATTAAATTTATTGCCATGAGTGTCACCAAGGG